CCAGCCGGGTCCTGGGCTAGCCACCATCATTAAAGGCCACAGTTAATGATTAAGGGTAATAAATGTGGCAATTTAGTTCGTATAGAGACCTCTCCCATCCTTAGGGATGGAGTGTGTGAGTGTAGACCAACTGTGGCTGTCACAACTCAATCTACACACTCCCCTCCACCACAATTGGCAGCTACTGTTAATGGTTGGGTATGCAGTCAAATGCTTCCCAGGAAATTACTGCAGCATATTGCAAGCTGGCTTTGCCTTGGTACCCCAACACAAACCCACCTAACAAAGAGGCTGAAATATCAGGCTGGTGCCTGAGGTAGACACTAAAAAGTGTTCTGTTTATGACCAAGAGGTCTATGAGAGGGCTGGTGGAAACTATGACCCATCATCACCTGGTTTACATGGGGCCTTTTTGGGCTTGGGTAAGTTCCAGGCATTCATGAAGGCCTTCTCATCCTCGGACAACCAGGGCCCTGCAGAGGCAGCCACACCACTTTCTTGTCTACTTCCTCTTGTGTGTGGAACCAGTCTTCATTCAAATTAGACCATTTGGTTTTCATCTGGTCCCTCAGTTTGCTGTTCATCTCTAGGACTGGAAGACAAGGTGTTGCATAATAAGGAAGAGGAGAGTTTTGCCTTTCTGTCCCTTGGGCAAGCTGCAACCCTGAGTGACACTGTGGGGTACCAGGGAGGCCCTGAGAGCCCCCAAGGAAGGAGACAGATAAGTCTTCCCTCAATATGGGAGATTTTAAATGTTAAAGGGAGACTCTTTTGCCAGAGCTGAAGGAGATGGCAAAAAGGGACTCAGGGTTTTGGCTGACATCTATTATTTAAATGACAAAAATGTGAAGTCTTGGGAACACATCAGAGTATTAGGATGTTTGTAAAGTCCCAAATGCAGAATTCATACTTCTCAGTGAAACCACTGTTCTGCTTGGCTGTGTATCTTCCGGGACAACACACATGTCTCCTCACCCCTGATAAGGAATCCATGGTAAATATGGATACCACCAAAGTCCAGCTTGGTGAACCACTGAATTTTATTGGGGTTACTTACAGGACTATGGGTTAGGGGTTACACCAGCAGAAATGACTCCTGCATGGATGACAGGTCTCAAAGCTGGTAACCCGGGGCACACTGCACGGCCTCCAGGCAGCTCAACAGGTTGGAGAGTGTCTGTTCTAGGTGCCTCAGTTGGTCTGAACTTCTTCCAGGCAGCTCAGCTGGTTTCTGTTTCTTCCAGGGAGCTGCTGTGGTCTCTGAGTCATCCCTGCAGTTTGGCTTTGCCCCTCTGAGAGGGATTATTACTTTTTATTGCTTATTCTGGCAGGGAGTGGCCTGGTGAATCTGGTCAGGTTCAAGGCCATCCTAAATATATTTTGAGTTGTTTACCTTCCTGCTTAAGGAGCATCTCTGTAGGATGGACTACTTCAATCTCAAAGAAAACTTAGACAACAGAGGGTTGGACCCAGGACTTCCCACATGGTAGGTAAGCGCTCCAGCATAGAGTTATGTTGCAGGTCCAACACAAAAATTTTTACTTTTTGAATGACATTTTGGCTCATACACAAAGACAAAGAAATTGCCGGTATAATTGACAGTGTATGTACAAGTAGTTTGTTGGGTTATTTAAGACAGGTTATTAAAGTCTCCATCTGGCTTCTAACTTGCACTGTAGTAGAAGATGGCTTGGAACTTCTAACTCTCCTGACAGGTTTATTACACATGTTTTAGAAACAAAAACATTGTCATAACTGGGCCTTCTGACTTATGCCTGTGATCCCAGCTCAGGAGGCTGAGGCAGGGGGAATCCAAAGTTCCAAACTAGCCTGAACATTTCAGTGAGATCTTGTCTCAAAAACATACAAACAAACAAAATGGCTGGGATGTAGCTCATGGATAAAGAGGCAGAATATGCCAGGGTTTGGACTTAAATTCCAGAACTGAATGGCATAACCACCACAGCCTGCTATATACAGAGCAACGGGCATTGTCTCGTGTGTTCCAGCACTTCCATACACACACTGGCAGGACCAGGGAACATTTAGATTCTGGTCACTTCCAGGGATGGGCCATCAGTTTCAGGGGGTCTGTTCCTGTACATGGCCCATCATAGTGCCCACTCAGGCAGCAGTGTTAAGAGTCTGGGGGCGGGGGGGGGTCACTGAGCTTCCGTGCCTGTAAGACCGCATTCTGGCTGCACTTGCCTGTCTATGGAGTGGTTTCCCTGCACACTTCTTCCTGTTCTTTTGAAGTTGAGTGAGTTATTTCATTCTTTCTTCCAGCTGCTGCTGCTGCTGTTGTCACTGTGTAGCCCTGGCTGGTCTGGAACTCACTGTGCAGACCAGGCTAGCCTCAAACTCACAGAGATCCTCCTGTGTCTGCCTCTCAAGTGCTAGGATTAAAGGCAGGTGCCACCACACCTGGTCCTTTATTCTGGCTTGGTATTCTGGGTCTTTCCATGTCTTGCAAACATGTCTCCCATTCTGCAAACATTTTAAACATCAGTAATTAATGTTGAACATTAGAAAAAGAAAGAAAACTATCTTAGAAAAAGAAAGAAAATGATCCAGCTCTTGCTGGTGCTGCATGGGTAATGGATGGGTTTCCCCTTGTTTCTGTTCTGTTCTCGGCTTCCAGCTGACCCGAAGGTTCATGTTAGGGTCTCTCTCCATTCTCCCTTCCCCAGCAGTAGACCACTGTTGCCCTTACCCTGTGAAAGTTTTCCAATAGAACAATGGAGACGAGGGTCTCATTTCTTCTCAAGGGGCTTTTGTGTAGACTACAGCCTCTCTCCTGGCCATGGCAGGCAGTCTCTGTCATGACTTCTGTGGATGTTCTCGGGGTCCAGATTGTCCCCTTTCTCTTGCTGAAGGAGAAGGAACAGATTCTCTGCCAGATTCTGTGCCAGCGTTAGCTTCTAGGAAACGATAGCTTTTGTTTCCACCTCACTCTTAGCAGGTACACTCCAGCCCACACCTTGTGGCAAAAGGGTTTCCTATCTTATCCCAGGCTTTTACATCTTGAAAATCAGGGTCTATTGAGGATGCAGTTAATGTGGATTGAAATGGAGTCAGAGCTAGTTTGAAAAACAGATGGTTTATTAGGAAAGTACTCACACAATGGAGCCAGTCCTGTACAACCAGGCAGGTGAGGGAACAGAGAGCCCTAGGAGTGACCCCCATATTTAAAGTCTTGCTACATCGCTCTAACCATGCCCAAGTGTGTGTGGTCATCGTCACTTGTGCCAGCCTTCAAGACAGGTGTAGCCAGCATTTCCCCCTATAAGGGTCAAACACACTGCTGCAGCAGGGGAGGTTTCCTGATCCATCTGCAGATACAGTGTTTGCTTCCACTCCCTCAAGCTGACAGGGTTTTGTAAGGATGTTTCCAGGGTTCAAAAGGCAGCACTTTTCACACCCAGCTCCTCCATGCATGCAGGGATTAGAAACCACCACACTACCCCACACATGCTATTTAAAACTTCCCCAAAAGTTTTACCCATTTTGTTAATGGTAGCTTGTTCATAGTCTTTCCCGAATGTAATATGGGCCCATGAGCTGATACATAGAGCATAAAACCTCGGTGTCAGTTGTTCTAATAACGTGGGTGCTTGCTGTGCCTCAAAGAATTTCATGATGCTGATGTATTCTTCCTGGAAAAGGTAAATAGCAATACACATGGCATTTACTTGTTGATTGGAGCTCAGTCATCAAAATAGTTAGCTATTTAATAATAGAAATGCAAATTAATACAAGGTACAGTAGTTTTATGTACATTTTGCCTCTCAGTTTAATGTATTTGCAAGACAAAGGCGTACTTGATTTGTTTGTAGTTCCTGTTGGGGCTACTCCTGCCTCGGACCTGGGTTTTGAGGTTTTGGATGTGGATGCAGTTTCATTATGGAAAGTGATTTAGAATCCACTTTATGAGCCATGCAGCCGAAAAGATTTTAGATATGATGGCTTCTGGGCATGACAGTTGTACACCTTTCACTGGGGCTGAACCTCCATAAGCTAAATTATGAAGTACTTACAGGCACACATTTTTCCTGTCAAAAATGATGGGGCATGTAAAATTCATTTATGATTGATAGCGGGGCACACAAAGTTTAAAACCCACATTTTAAAAGTTAGACTTGTTAACCTTGTACAATACCATAAGAGGATGCTTTGGAATTAGAAGCACACAGCAGTAACATTTGCTGCCAAAAGAGCCATATTTATTAACTCAACAAAGCTATAAGGAAACAGATTTGAAAGGCAGAACACAGTATTTCATCTGCAGAATAATTTTTGATCTTCATCGGAGGTCTCACAAAATCACTTCTTTGTAACTGGACATGCTAATCAATTCTACAAAATCTGAAAGGTTATGAATTTTTCATCACTCCATTGTAGCTTTGAAGTTAACTGTAAATATTTATAAATCCCTTCTTCCCAATATATATAAAAGTAAATGAAAATGAAAAGAATTGGACAAGTTTTTGACTCATCCTCTATCTGTGTCTATCACCCCCCCACCCCGTGTGTGTGTGTGTGTGTGTGTGTGTGTGTGTGTGTGTGTGTGTGTGTGTGTGTGTGTGTGTGTGTGTGCACAATACTTCAGTGCTTAGATCAGTGGGGAAGAAAAGTGTATATTAAACTGTAGCCCTTGTTTTGCAAATCTATCAATTCACTGTGGCTACACTAAGGAATCTGAATGTTAATGGCATGTTAATGGCTTTGTATAATTAAATATATAAAGATGCTAGACTGTTTTATGAACAAAGATATTTTATCTGACTCACTCTTGGAAAAGCAGGCATGTTCTTTTGGGCTAGGTGTTGGGACCTTAAGATTTCTCTAGGAAGTGATATTAGCACTTTAGCGATCTTTTCCTCCCCCTCTTTAAAAATAGCTATCCTGCTTGTCATTAGTTTGCTTATAATTTTAAAAAAGCAAATTATGTGATACACGATGTGCTTCTGTTACTCAAAAATGGGTTGGCTCTGTTTCAGGATTCATTTTGGGATGAAAGGCTTCATCTCGATTAACCCAGGGGAATGTGAAAATAGAGGTGGGGTCTCCCCAACTTTCCAAGTGCAGCTCACCCGGGACTTGATCTGCTTCTTTGACTCTTCAGTAGAACTCAGGTAATGTTAAAAAAAAAAAAGTAATTCTTAACTAAAAATGGTATTTTAATAAAAAAATAAAAACGAGATACCAGGAAAAGGAGTTTTTCTTTGTTGTTCTGTAGTAGTAGTAGTAGTAGTAGTAGTAGTAGTAGTTGTTGTTGTTGTTGTTGTTGTTAGATAGCAAAAGAACTAGCAGAGATGCTAAAATTGTAGCACAGAGAATAAATATTCATAGATTCTGAGAAGGGTACTTAGTACGTTAGCTGCAAAACAGCATAGCTGGTATCTGCAGTTTGGTTTCAACATCACACATGTTACTTAAGAAAAATTTTATAACAGATAAAATAATATTGTAAAGGAACCTTCAGATATCATTATTAAGGTCATCACTGTTTGTGGGGGTCCTCTAGCTACCTTGCCTGTTGACCATCAGGTCAAGCAGGGAAAGAGGCAGAGGGGGTGATAGAGAGCTTTGACAGCCTCTGAACGTGAATGGAGACAGTCCTCTGGTACCTAGTTTTTTGGTTAATCAGTTCAGCTTTAATCCAGAGTATAAGGAATATATTGCTGAACCTGGGGACAAACCCTAATTTGTATTAAGTGGCATGCTCCTATCACAAGGTTAGTATGTGGCAGTAGGTTTCTGTAGCAGAGCTCATTATCACAAATCTGTTTATCAAAAATCAGTGCCAAGGGTCAAGCTAAACTAAAAGCATGCATCTAGTTTAGAGACAGCTTTCAGATAAGGTCAGTCCTCCAGGCCCCAGGACATTCTCCAGATAAGGGCAGGTATAGATCAGGAGACCTTGCTGAGAGAGAAGGTGTTCCATATTGCCAAGCTTAGAGAAAAATCTGCTAGGTTTATGGCTGACTGAGGCCTCTAACCAGCAGCAATGTATTCCAACAACTGTTCACCCAAAGAACTCATAGGCCATAATTTATGTGTGTTTGCATTTAGATCGAAGCCCATTCAGTGACTCTAAACTTACGAAGTAGACTTGGGATTAATATGTTGTATACTTCTTTCTATAGAAATTCAACGGAAAGCCAACAGAGAGTAAGAATGATGGAAGAATTGGATGTGTGTTCACCAAAGTTCAGTCTCTCGAGAGCAGAAAGTGAAGTTAAACAGCAGAAAGATCGGATGCTATGTGATGTGGTACTGGATCAGAGAGTGCTGCCTGGTGTAGGGAACATCATCAAAAATGAAGCTCTCTTTGACAGCGGCCTCCATCCAGCTGTTAAGGTAAAGTATAAGTATTGTCAAATTTGTTTCTAACTTGTTTTTAAATAGGGTAAGGATCCAATGAGAAACAGAAATCTATGCTATAACAACATATTCTGTACATACTCCGGGCATCTTTTAAGTCTTGGCTTTAAGTGTCAGCTCCCTGGTGTGGCCATCTCTGACTCCCTGTTAGAACTGCAGTATCTCAATTCCTGCCCCTCAGTAGTCCTTAGCTTGCTTTGATTTTATTATCCCCATGCCTTCTATTAGTTTTACTTTCAAAGATATTTTACTCATTATACTTACTGTTTAAGACAAAAACAAAACTGTGTCACCTATAAGGAGGGCAAATGTTTTCTCTGCAGTGATGTTTCACTGAAATAGTGAAACAGCACAGTGACTAGCTTTAGAGAGATCTTTGTGGAATGTATGAATAAATGAATCAGGCTTAGCATTTGTATACAGAAGGATGACACACTTGACACATCTAAGAACTACCTGGGATTAGATCTCCAAAGAAACACTCAGTTTGGTGTTAGCTCTCTAGGTGCTATAGACAGTAATTAAGCTTTTGTTTTTTCTATCTGACATAGTAAATATATACTCTACACTACATGCATGAATTCCCATCTATAGCTGTGAATAATAGAAAAAAAAAAACTTTGGGAAAATGATAAGGATGAAATTTGAGTAGCAGGGACTAAAGAATGAATGAGCCAAGAGCAAAAGAAGCAAAATTCCCATTTCTCTAAATTACATTAGCTTAGATTGGCATGAAGAGAGAAAAGCTTTGGACTGCTAGAGTGGGATACCAGGACAAGGAATGGCTTTGGTTTTGTTGTTTGCTCTTCAACTGGAGAGACCTGAACTCTTATTTTTCTAGGATACAGAATGAGTAGAGAGAGGAGCCTTGAGAACAATGATTGAGTACTGTTATTCTTTTGTTTAAAAAGAAGAAAAGAGAAATGCTGAGACATGAGACATGTTGAATATAAGTTTATTATAAGGCCTGGCAGAATAGGGAGACTAAGAAGAGGAGAAGAACAGGGTAAGTGGCTGACCGCCATGGCTGGTTGCCGCAGAGAGCGCATAGGTGAGAGAGAGAGAGAGTAGAGAGGAAACAGAGAGAGTAAATGGGCAGGGATCTGTCTTTTTAAAGGGGTCCTCTGCACCTGCGTGCAGACTCAGTTCCCATGGAACCTTGGACTGACCAGGGTACTGCCTGTTCCACCAGGTAACAGGAACAGGCCAGCATAATGCCTGAACCTTTCAAGTACAGTTAAGAGAAGGGAGAGACTGGAATGGGAACATTTATCCTTAGATTTATTTCTATGAATATGAAGTTGGCACTTAAGGCTCTTACCCAGATTTGTTACTATGATCTAAATTCTAACTGTATCAACTATTTCTAAGTAGAGCTTCTTACGTAAATTGTTTTTTACACAAGTCCACATATACCTCTTTATTTTCTGCATATAGTTTCTCACTGGCTTTGGTAAAATCCTAATCATTAGTAATTAAAATTTAAAAGAAACCAATTAATGATAATTTGTTAGATTCTGCCTTTTTAATGCTTAGAACATCTTACTTCGGTGCAGCAATACTGAAATAGGATCTTGACAAAAGAGAGCTTTTGAAAATTCACATAGGCTTCTCTGGAGAATTGTTTTCTAGAAGAGAACCAAGGGCGTGGGAGATGGCTTGTCTAACATGTATGAGATCTTAGTTGTGATCCCCAATATTGGAGTTAGTTAGAGTGATAAAGAGAATGTGCATAAATTTTGTATCTGTTGTTCTCTGTAAGAGAATGTTAAGTAGATTTTCTTATAGTCATGCATAAATTATGAAATGATGTTTTCCCTTTAAGGTGTGTGAGCTCTCAGAGGAGCAGACCCATCACCTTGTGAAGATGATCCGTGATTTCAGCATTCTCTTTTATAGGGTAAGAAAGAATATTTCCTACCATGTGTTAGACCAGTGGATCCCTCTTTTGACCTTACCAGGGTGTTAAAGCTGCAGGTAGCCCTCTAGTGGTAAGATTCAGGGAGCATGAGTGACACCTGAAAGGCACAATTAGTGTCTTAAAATTTTAGGTCATAAGTCAATCTCAACTTGCCTCGCTGTGAATGTATTTAGTTATATTTCCACTAAGTTGGATAACAATCGTGTTAGTATTTTAATTGAATTCTTGTTATATTTGGACATATAAAACACAAAGCATTTAGACAGACAATACTTAAGGATAAACAGACTTGGGTTCATTCGGGTTTTGCCAATGATTATGTGTAGTTTAGATTATTTAGATAATTTAGTTTTTTTTTAGATCTATATGTACAACAAAAGCTCTTCTAAAGATGACATAAGTTCTCATTAACATGTTAGTTAGCAAGTTGTATAGTGTTCATATAGACCTCAGTAAAAGTGCTTCATCTTTTAAACAGTGGATTATCATCATTAAGCCTGTTTTACCATCACAATTCAAAATGTGTGTTTTTAATGTGATCATAGAGGAAGGTATTATAATGGGCTTCATTAATTGACCTAAAATGTTAATAAACATCTTAGAGTACATGACTACCTTCAGTAACAATGGCAATTTTACAGTGACCTATGCCCATTTATTCTTCCAGAGAAAAATGACTATAGAAAACAGTCCATTTTGCCCACAGCAAATTGGGCATTTCACTGCCTTGCTTAAATTAATGTATGTTGTTTGTATAGTTTCAGCCCCTATATAGTCATATTTCAGCGTTTTTACAATTTCATTCTGCCAATGGAAACCAAAACTATTCTCTTTGTAGGTACGTTAACACATGTGTGTAGCATAAAACTATGGCAAAAAAACCAAAAACAAAATGACTTTGGAAACTAAAATAGAGCATATTCTCTGTTAGGGTAGTATTTGAGTTTTTATTTTCTTTTCTGGCAAATCTTTAGAGTTCAAAAAAAATTCCTTTATCAGGCTAACAAAGAAAATGCTCTCGTTAAATTTTATACCCTAAAAATAACTTTTTTGGCCGTTGAAACTGAGTGAGTAGCTTCCTTGTTCTAAAAGCAATCAGATTTGAAGCTAATCTAGCCCTTTTCTTACAACCATGTAATTATGTTTAATTAAGAAAGCCTTAAAAGCATAAAAGACATTTTAAAATATAGAACTTTTATATATCATTTAGATAAGAGGATAAAGCAGAGAGCAGTTTGGAATACTAATAAGTTAAAACATAATGACTCAATTATTTCATGCAAATCTTATTTGATAGATATTTCTAAATTTTGTCAATACCTTTTACTTTGATGAAAAATTATTATATGGAACTAAAGTACAAATTTTTGACATTTGCAGAGAGGACTTAATTTCCTGAATGTATTTTGTCCCACATAACAACAATCTTGAGCATAATAAAATATTGTATTTATTTTACTTTTTAGTGCCATAAAGCAGGATCTGCCATTTCTAAACACTATAAGGTTTACAAGCGTCCTAACTGTGGTCAGTGCCACTGCAAAATTACAGTGTGTCGCTTAGGGGAAAACAGCAGGATGACCTATTTCTGTCCTCACTGTCAGAAAGAAAACCCTCAGCATGTTCAGCTATGGTAAGATATCTAACTTCAATTTTCTCTCTGAATGGCTTCTAATCAGAACATGTAACTGAAGAACTGCCAGACTACTGGTAGCATGTACTTACCACAGAACAAAGAGACTGAAAGCATGTATGGAAAATCATTGCAGAGAGATGGGTGGAAATTGTTGTCAGACCCAGAATCAACACACTAGAACAAGAATTAATTGTCTTAAAAGTTAATAAGAATCATAACAGGTCTAATTGGAAGAATGGTGCAAAACACTCAAAACCAAGTATTAGAAATTTTGTCATTGGGAAAGTTTGGATAGAATGAGGAAGACTTTTGAGTGAAAGTGGCAGTAGACTGTGTAAGAAGGACATTTCATGGGCCACATGAATAGATGGGTAATGGCCAAAGGTTACCAGCATAGTATTTTTAGGTGAAGCATTAAATGCGTAGCTCATTTCGAGTGGATGCAGAAATGAACTGAGACCTGAGCTTTGGTGACCTGGTGCTGCTGATTGGGAGCAAACAAAACGATGTGATTGGGAATTGGACGAAAGTAGGCACATTACTGAGCTGTGCAAAACCCGAGGAGGAGGGTGAGCTGCTATTCTGTGGAAAGCATAGAGGGACAACTTATGTTTTCATAAATATATGCACATCCACTTGTCTTTTTTCCATCTGTGTTCTATTTCTGTATAACTACTCTGCCTCCCAAGGATTTTATACCCCCCTCCTGTCAGCCTGTTTTGTTGTCACAGATAGGAGATATCATCAGACGGCTGATTGTATTTGTTGTACGGCTTTCTGGTTTTATTTTTCATGACACAGATATACAGTTTTTTTTTGACTCCATGCACCTAACACAGTACCCAGCTCATAGAAGCTCATAGAAGTATATTTGTCTGTTGCATAAATGATCAGTGTTCTATGTTTGTCTGGATTATGTAGCTGCTTCCAGCTTTTGAGGTTGAAAGTTTTCCTTTTTTCTCTCAAGTAGTCAGTAAATGATATTTTATCATACAAACAGGATATTGGCCAATCCAAAGTGTTTGGAGATGAGGTTTAAAGACTCCTAGAGTTCCGGAAAGAGATTTAGTTTTACATGTCCTGGGCTGTGTAATCCCTCTCCTCCCTCTCACCTTAATCCTGTTTTTTTTTTTTATTAATATTTATTTTATAATGATTTTTTATTATTTTTTTTTACATCCAGACTTTACTTTCCCTTCCCTCCTCTCCTCCCAGTCTCTCCCTCTCCCCCATCCACTTCTCCTCCGTTTCTATTTAGGAAAGGGCAGGCCTCTCATGGATATCAACCAGACACAGCATATCAAGTTGCAGTAAGACTGGGCATCTCCTCACATATGAAGGCTGGACAAGGCAACTCAGGATGACAAATAGGGTCCCCAAGACCAGCAGAAGAGTCAGAGATAGCTCCTGTTCCCTCTATTAGAAATAAGTAACACCAAGTTAACCAATTGTAACATATATGCAAAGTGCCTAGGTCAGTCCCATGCATGCTCCCTGGTTGTTAGTTCAGGCTCTGTGAGCCCCTGTGAGTCCAGGTTAGTTGAGACTGTAGGTTTTCTTGTGGTGTTCTTGACCCCTCTGGCTCCCTACAATCCTTCCTTCCTTCTCTTCCACAAGATTCCCCAGTTCTGCCTAATGTTTGGCTGTGTCTCAACATCTGTTTCCACCAGTTGCTGGATGGAGACTCTCGGATGACAATTGGAGTATAGCAAAGTATCATTAGGCATCATTACACTGACATTTTTTTTTCTCCAGTCGTGTTTGGTTCTATCCTTGGTCTGTGTGCCATCCAGCCTCTGGGGTCCTGGTGCTTCAGCCAGTGCCCGGGCTCACTCTTGTGGCATGGGTTTCATGTTGGACCTGTCATTGGTTGGCCAGCTTCACAATTTACAGCAGCACATCTTGAAGGCAGGACAACTTATAGGTCAAAGGTTTCATGACTAGGTTGGTGTAACGATCCGCCCACTGGAAGTCTTGCCTGGTTACAGGAGACAGCCAGTTCAGGTTCCAAATCCCCTATTGCTAGCAGCCTTTGCTAGGGTCACTCCCATAGGTTCCTGGAAGTTTCCATTGCACTAGAATTCTAGCTCCTCCCCAAATACCCCACTTTCCAGTATTCTCCCCCTCCATCACCCTCAAATGATCTCTCCTGTTCCCATCTATTTTCCCTTCCTAGAGAGATCCATGTGTTCCCCTTAGAACTCTTCTTGTTACTTAGGCTCTCTGGGTGTGTGAATTGTAGCCTGGTTATCCTTTAGTTTACAGTCAATATCCATTTTTAAGTGAGTACATACCATGTTTGTCTTTTGTGGTTTGGTTACCTCATTCAGGATGATTTTTTCTTGTTCCCATCCATTTGCCTGCAAATTTCCTGATGTCATTGTTCTTTACAGCTGAGAAGTATTCCATTGTGTAAATATACCACATTTCTTTTATCCATTCTTAGTTTGAGGGGCATGTAGGTTGTCTTCCAGGTTTTGGCTATTTTAAAGTTTGAAAACCAATACTACTTGCTCCATTATTAAGATTTCTGTGAATAAATACAATCTGTTATCTCCACTAAATATTTGAGCATTTTTTATATTAACTAAATTGTTTGTTTTAAATTAAACTTATTTCAAGATTTGGGGTTAGAACTTGGTGGTATCACAATCACCTAGCAAAGCTTAAGTCACATTTTCAATCCCTAGGTTCTAGAGAACCCTGCAGAGAGGGGGGAAGGGAGGCAGATGAGAGGGAGGTAGAGAGAGAGGGGGAAGGGAGGGAGGAACATGTGGAGAGGAAGGGAAGGATAGGGAAAAGAGAGAGAGAGAGAGAGAGAGAGAGAGAGAGAGAGAGAGAGGAGAGTTCTCCATTTCAGGATAGCTTAAAGAAGCCTGTGAAGACCAAGAACAGTGATCCCAATGGTTCTGCACACACAAATCTCCCAGCTCTATTAACTCTCATGAATGCTTCCTAAATTTTTTGATTTTTGTTGGTCACATCCCATTATAAATGCCTACCTGATTTCTTATTGGCCCTTAATATAGTCAGCATAACCTACATATGTGGATATTGCTGTAATCTGGTGAAACTGACACTTTTATAGTCTCAGAGTTTTGTTTTATAATTTCTGTGATGTACTATTTACTTTCTGAGTATATGCAGGCTCTGGGAATGCAAGGCAGAATGTCACATGACCCCTCAAAGTTCTCTTTAGTGAGGCAGGAAACAGGTACATAACAGACACATAACGGGTGAAGGTCCTGTGAAGGATTATATTTACTTTAGTGGCAAGTGATAGGAAGCAGATCTATCTGGGAAGGACAGGCTCATCTTCATAAGGTTAGTATGGATGGAAGTAGGCCTTCATCACAAACAAGAGGCCTAGTATTTCCAAGAAGGGAACTGGAATGTGGGGAAAACAGAGAGACCCTCACAGGTGAGTGTCCGGCTGTTTCACTGCTGTATAAGGACATGTCCATAGCTCTAACCATCTGGAGTAGGAAGTGTTTGTAATTGGTTTCAGGTTGCTGAGAACTTAGTGCAATTAATAAGCCAGTTCTTACCGTGGTCCTCACCTGCCAGGAGGGTGGAACAACTTGAGGGCACTTGGAAGACACGAAGAAACCCTATGGTGACTTAGCTTCTTTGGGGTAGAGAGATTGATTGCAGTTGCCATGTCCAAGATACAGGTTAAAGGGGTAATATAGTCAAATGGCTATTGGGATAGTTAGTAGTCTTACCTGAAAAGCTATAGGAACTGGAGACTCAGGACTGGAAGCTATGCAGGCAACCAGATAACCAGTGCTGTCACAGTGCGCCTCCAACAGACAGCTGATTTTAATGCTTCCATCCCCCTTCTTGTCCCCCTTACACTGTTAGAAGCACATACCAGGCTGCAGAAGATTAAGTTTAGGGTTTGCTGATGGACTGGGTGTAAGATATAAGGACATGTGAGGATGGAGGCTAGAGTTTTGTCCTGTTCTGTTGAGAAAGTGCTGATGCCCTCTACTGAAACAAAGTAGGGGGGTTACAGATGAGTGCATCGTGTGGATTTTTGTTTGCACTAGTGTCATGTGGGTTTTATGACAACTTAGCACACTTTCAGCATAAAGCAAAAGAAATTTGCTCACTCAAGTTGGGATGCCAAAAGATTGAGTAATTTCATCAGACCACAATAAAGTGCTGACAAGTGTGTGCTCCTTCTGATGGTCCCAGGGGATGATTCACCCCTTGCTTCTTTGAGTGGCTAGTGGCTGCCAGCATTCTTTGACAGGCAGTTCTTATGTCACTGTAGTCTCTGCCTCTGCTTCGGCAGGACCTTCTCCTTTTCTGTGTATATAAAGTCTGCCTTTCCCCTCTTCCTAGGTCAGTATCCTTAATTTCAGCCGAAAAGGCTGTTTAAAAATCAACATTGTCAGCTCTCTGATATTACAATCTGGTGTCTTTGGGGGGCCCTCCTTCAGTCTACCACTGCACGTTAAGTGTGAATTCTTGTTACGTATCCATGCAGAGACTGGGGAGAATTTATTACTGGGTGATTAAGAAATGGAGCAACAACAGCAAAAAGAGATCCAAAAGCTTCCAGATGAAATGATAAGCATCCTCTTATTACAATAGGAGAAATTGACAATAATATAAAGCCATGGACACACTCTGAATCTGAAGGTCATTTAAATTGGGTTCAACTATGAATAAATGCAGCCTGCTGCCTTTTGGAGTAAGTCTAGGCCAGGAGTTAAGTCAGGGGAGCAAATTCTGTGGCCTTTGAGTTCCCTACACATTTGAGATACTGAGTGTTAGAAGTCAAGGTAAAGATAAAGGAATCATAATGAGGTGTCTCTTTCACATTTCATTGTACTATTCATTATTTTACGAAACAAGCTTGGATGAAGGGCTGGTGTGTTTGTGTATTTGGAGCAAGAAGTTCTAAAAGTCAAGGCTTCCTTTGACAGAGAATCTATGCTCTGAAATAAAAAAAAAATTAAGGTATGTAGGTTTTTCTGCAAGAGCTTTTCTTGGTGTTAACACTTGGAATCAGTGGCACTGCTTAACTGCATGGGATCTGGGATAGGAACTGTATTAAAGCTTTAGAAGGGTACTTTCTTTCACTCAGTAATGGCCAGTGGATTCCAGGTAGAGAATCATGATTCACATTCTTCACTAAAAACCAGTTTTATTATCTTTGCTGTTTGTTTCTTAACCTAATAACTACCTAGCTAAGAGTGATTACTTAGTGAACATAAAAAGGGTTAATGAGAACTAACAAATAAGTATTTTTTTTTTCAGCACTGCTGAACAAATACTATTGAAAAATCCAGAATTTCTAGAATTTTCTTTTGTGGAAACATGAAATCATGTAAAGCTTTTCTCATGTTATATCCTCTTTGTATTTTGGTTTAGATGTATAAAAAACTGCATTTTTTCAGTTTCATTTTTGGGGTTATAGTATAATCACATCATTTCTTCCTCTCCTCTTGTAACCCCCCAGCCCTCCTGTGTGCTGCTCCTTACTCTTTCAAGTGCATGTCCTGTTTTATTTTTTCAATGTTCTGTTTTTAGGATAACCTTTTTCTGATTTAATTGAATAAATAACATTTCAACTTTGCTCTGGAAACTGCTATTTAAAATCTTTCCAAAATATTTACTGCTTTTGTTTTTTTTTCTAACATACATAATACTTTTATTCTCTATAAAAAGTTTATTTATGAATTTAGTAGCATTCAGTAGGACTTAGGATATAGTTTTCATATTGGCCAGTAATGACTTCTAAATAATAATAATGTGGAGTTGGGGTACTAATGTTTCTACAATAGTATCTAAATGATCCAGAATGTATAAGAATGAAACACTAAGAAAATAAATGATTTAAAAATTTATTTACAGCAAACTGCCAACGAGAAAAGCTGTAATCAGCTGGACCTCTGGGAGAGAAGATTGCCTTATGGACTCAGTGGCTCGGAAATTTGAAGAGCAGTGGTCCTGTGTGGTCTGTACCCTCATAAACAAACCTTCCGCTGAGGCCTGTGATGCTTGCTTAACTGTAAGGCCTGTTGGTAAGACTGACTTTTTATTTTGAATTCATAAAATTTGTAAGAGGATTTATTGTATAGGCAGGGATATATTTTTCTCCACCTTGATATTCCATAGCCAACTAAAAGGCTTTCTTTCTCAGATGTTTAGGGGAATTGCCAGCCTTTTTATGTAAACTAGGCTCATAGTCTGTTGAAAATATTAACAAAAAAAAAAAAAAAAAAGACAGGGAGGGGAAACATGCTTTTCCTAGAACAGTGCTCGCCTTTGTATCTCAAACACTGAGATGATCACATCTGTTCTCTACTGTTTCTAATGAATTATTCAATAAAGCTTTGTTTTATGCAGATTTCAGCAACTTTCCAGTTTGTTATTCAGTCCCAGTGTTTCATAAATTGAAAGGGAGGAATTCTGTAAGAATATCTTTGCAGGTGGAATTGAAAAATGCTGAATTTTTTTCTCTTCTTTCTCCTTCCTAGCCCTTGTTATTAAAATCTTTACCCAGACAATTGTACTGATTTCATTGAAATCCTTGAAAATAACTCTTTAGAGCTCCCAATCGCATGCGTTCAGAGAATGTAAAACCTCAGAGGAAACCTGTGATTAAGAGCCATCCCACTGATGCAGCTCCCATTGTGTTCGTCATGTGTTATTTCTTTCCCCAATTAGACATGAGAAAGTTCCTTCTTGACTTAAGGACCCCTGCATTGTGTTAGTGGCTGTATTGTGTTTTGTTCCCTGGGCCTGTGAGGCAGGCATCACCCCTCCAACAGCTTTGCTAAGTAGCAGGAGGGACTGTCCCTCCTTCAGTATCAATCACCCAAGAGAGAAGCTTGGAAAACCAGTCTTAGTTTTCTGCATTTATTTCAGCATTCTGAAATGCCTTTATATGTCTCATCAATTATTTCTTGTTACTATGAAGACATATGTCCATATAGTAATATATATAATAATATAGATCGTATCATGATGTTGATTCCAAAATTCCAGGATATTTCTTGAAACATCCTCATCAAAATCAAGTATCCATAATTCTTCTTTGCTAATCTTAAGGAAACTTTTCATTCGGCCTATCAATCATATGAATATTCCTGCCCTTATGTTAGTCTCTAGCTGCAGAGCTGAGACCTTATGGGATATCATTCTTAACCACCAGTGCTAATTGCTTCAGCTAATATTAACAGCACTGATAGCTGAATAATCTTTGGATATTTAAACATAAAAAAGTAAATATAAATCTTTGGTAATACCATCTTTTGGTTCCTATAGGTTGTTGATATTTTATTTCCTAAACAGAAGATAACTCACTGTAACTTGTCCAAGTGAGTTTGATAACATGGTTGTGCATATTTGCTTAGTATAATAAACTAAAATCTTAACTCAATTCAAATAGTCAGTGTATTATATTTATAGGGATACTGTAAAATTACTTGTCTCTTTTTCCAGATTCAGTGCTCAAGAATGAAGAGAATAACATTGCCGCTAGCAACTTAGTGAAGTACCCTTGTAATAACTTTGGGAACACACATACAGAAGTTAAGATCAACAGGAAAGCTGTATTTGGAAGTACAACCCTTGTCTTGACTGATTTCAGTAATAAATCCAGTACTTCGGCCAGAAAGAAAAGCCCAAACCAGATAATCGGTGGGGGATTTCAAAACTTTCTTCCTACAGATGTGTGTTTTAGTGATCTACAGCACCCCTCCAAAGAAGGAGCAAACTACATTACTCAGCCATCCAACAGGGTAAACATATCGCCTACAGTTTGTGCCCAGTCTAAATTATTTAGTTCAGCACATAAAAAATTGAAAACAGCTCACTCTTCAGAAGCAGACCCTAAATATTACAACCCTGGACTCTCTAACAGGTATGATGTTTCTAACTTAGGTCTTTACAATATTGGCACTAAGTTCTTATTGTTATTATTTTAAGTATTTTTCAGATAAATAAAGCATTTGGATTGCATCAAGTTCTAAGAAGGCACTAAATACACCCATTGCTAAGGAAGTTAAATTGCTTTTAGTAAAATAAGCCCTGAAAAATTGTTATAGTAATTTGCTCACTTTTCTTTCTGTAACTAATTGATGTTAGAAAAGGAAAGAAATGGAACAGATTTTTCCACAACTCACAACAAGTATTGTTTTCATCTTTTCCTGAATAGAACTATATGTTCAATAGGACATATTTGGAAAATATCAGAAAATATTTAGAAAACTATTTAAAACATATAGCAGTTGTCTGCTGATATTTTATATGTAGATAGGTATTCCTTGGTTTCCAAGGTAGTTGTGTCCCAGTAAACCTGTCATAAGTTGAAAATGTATTACCTGCACCCACCCTTAACATCAGTCTCACAATCCATGACACTGTAAGGTCCCAGATCTTCCCTCATGTCATGTGCCTGATTGGGAGTTAGAACTTGTCAATCATTGAGAGAAATTATTAGCCTGCATGCCACTAGCCTGAGTAAAGACCAAAACTTGAGCTCTGGCTTCTCTTGCTGCTTCACCATGGAAAAGTCAAAGCATTGTGGGTAACATTGTCATCTGTTGGGGCCCAACCAAGCATTTCTTCCCAATAAAGCAAAGTTCTGAGGGAAACCATCATGCACAAAAGTTTAGTGTGTGTCCTCTATTTTAAAAAAGAGAAACCTGGGATATCCTTGGTTGCATTTCTGTTAACAAAAGTTGCTCTATCTTTAGCCATGTGGGTTTTTTTTTTTTTCTATTTTAACCAAAAATTCCCAAAGAGTGCCCATGCTGTTTTTGTATCAGAAATGAAAGTTACAATTCCTGTTAAGTACTACGCATAGCAGATGTGTTTTATGAAACTACCAGCTACATATTCAGGAGAAGATCCCCAGCTGTGAGCTGGGCTGGAGACCTTCCTTACTGACCTCATTTCCTCTCTCTCCTTACCAAGGCTTCCTGTCCCGCCTGATGAGACATCTTTCCACAATTTTCCCCCAGATTGTTTCATCACGAATCAGTTGCTATACTCATACATATCATTTTCATTTTAGAAGTTGCCCTAGTATATTTGGGGCAGGGTGGTATGGGGAGGTGAGAGGGCAATTTGCAGAGTCTGTTCTCTCCTCCACCCTGTGGGCTCCAAGAGCCACAATCAGGTCTTTAGACTGTCATTGAGCACCCTCCCTCACTGTGCCATCTCGCTAACCCTTCGTAGCATTTTAAATGAAAAGCAAATGAAGCAAATAATGTCTTTTCTTCCCAAGCATATCTTTTCTTACCAATGGGAGATGGTTACTATGGAGCCTGAAGTGATCTCAGGGGAATTCAGATTTGTAGATGTTCCTTTATCCATGCTTTATTGATGGGAGGGTTCTACCCCTGGGCAATGGGATGATGGAAATGCCTAATCCAAACTCTGGGAATCCTTAAAGCTCATTTCATAATAATTCTCAGACAGGTTTTGCCCACTGTATGCATTTATCTCTAACTTCTCCTACCTCAAAATCTTCTGTCATGAGTTAATCCTGATGATTGACACTAAGCTGATTTATTTTTCAAAAAGTTTTGTTCATAATCATCTGATATAACTGATATAACTGCTACTTGTGATATATTGGAATTAAGTTATGAATGCCTGAACTTTTAACTGGCTAGATAATACATCTTCTCCCTCTATCCCTAATTGGTGCCTCACAATATAAATCAGGAAGGTGCTAGAGTCTGATTTGGGAGGCTGCCCTGTAGAAAAAAAAAATAGGTTTTAAATAGTGGTGTAACTGAAAAGAAGTGAAAAGTGATTGCTTTAAAATAGTGTGTCATTTGTTATACCCAGATGCAATGTCCTGGCATATTTTTCCTTCATGTAAAAAAAAAATCAGAACAACAACAACAAAAGAAAAACCACCAGACAATTTTACTAATGAATTAAGGATTAAAAAATTAATGTAACTTTAAATTTAAATGATTTCTTCATAAGCTATTAACAGTAGAGTCATATGATCAATCACAATGCACAGCATTGCTCAGAAATGTTACACGAGTGCGTGTGTGTGTGCATGTGTGCTTGTGTGTTGAGTAGAACATTAGGATGGAACTCCACAATCAATCAAGATCAACTAGCAGAATAAATGTCAAGTGATAAAATGAATTCACCCAGCAGCCCTTCTGTGCCCAGCTACTTTACAAGGAAAAAATTGCAAATTACTGTCGTTTATTTCATTTTTCTCCTTGTCTGGCAGCTAGAGTGTTCATCTCGTGGACAAGATGCTTAGCAGAAGCTCACCACAAAACACTGTTAAAACAGGTGGTCCACTCAGAATTTATAGCCAGTTTATTTTCTTTAATAATCATGGGGTAATTAATTTGACTTTTGTTCCCTTAATTAGCCATCTCTTTGCCACGCAGATGCATGTATGTTGAGAAGGCTTATTTTTGGATTGATCTCTAAATATACTTGAATGTTCTCCAGTTACTAGATGATAAATCAGATAATTGAACCAGTTGAATCAGATGATTTTTAAGCAGTTGACAGTAGCTTCTAAAACCAGTTTTAAATCTTTGATCCAGTTACTGTAAACACAGAAAAAAACATGGTTATATGTTTTCAAAGAAAGCGTGTGTTCTAGCGGGAATATCATGCAAAGGGTCGCATAGGAGTGCAAAAGGACACCTTTGAAGTCATCCCCATTTCCCGTGTCTGCTCCCTGTTTGGAAGGTCTGTCTCTAATACTTTGCACTTGTTTCTGCTTTACCTCTTGGAGTTTTCAGCTGCCTCACACATTTAAGTTCTGTTTACTTTAATCTTTGAAGTAATATTGGATTGTCAAATCTACATTCAGTTGGACAGATTGATTCAAAAATTACTTCAAAGCAGTATTTTTATTAAAGTAAATCGTTCCATCTATAAAATCAGTAACTTTTAAATTAATGGTTGATAATATAGGTTTTCCATCACAAGGATAGTGTTTAGCTATCTCTGATTTCTTTATTGTTATTCTCTTTATTCTTAGGGCACTAAGAATGGAAGCCATGTGTTTTGCACTTGCCAGGCAGCAACTTTATCTTACTATTTTTTGAAAACTTGTTAAGCCTCAAGTTTTGTCTGTGATCCTAATGATGCCTACTCCAGCAAACTACAGCCAGCAAGGCCAGATTCAACAAACACCTGTGTGTGTGATGATTCATTTCCATTTGCTTAGTTATTTCTATATTAAAGAAACAATAGAATTGAGCAGTTGCCACAGAGACCCAAGCTTAAAATACATGTCTGGAAAGGGATTGCCAAATCCTGGTCTACTATATTGCCATGTCATTTATTAATCAATATTCAAATGATGAGCCTCATAACCGCAATAAGTTCAACTGTTCTTTATGCTAAATTTACCTAGGAAAATGCTCAGCTCCATTTTAGGAAGTTTTTAAATAATGATTGAAACAAAGAGGAACCAAGATATCCTCGATTAAGCAGAAACACTTAATTAGCCCAGATAATGTTTTCTGTCATAAACCAGAGGTTGGCTTGTGCATATTTAGAGTGGATGTGATCGCAGGTGGTGCAAGCGGCTTGGTTACATTAACTCTGCACTTTACAACTTAATGTGCAGATGAATCACCTGGGAGTCTTGTTCGCAAACAGATGCTGAATCCAAAGGGATTGGGAAGAGGGGAGAGTAGTTCGGTGTGTCTGAGGAGCCCCTGGGTGATCCTAATGTTGCTAGTTAGTGGAACACATTCTGGGTACCAAGGATAGAATGACAAACAGCCAGCTTTATGCCAAAGAAGACACAGAATGGAAGACAAAATGAAGAAGAGGCAAGGGTGGGAGCCTCTTGAGTCATATCCCCTACTTCTGAACCTCAGAAAATCTTCCATAGGAAAAAAACAAAATCTCCTTAGGTCTGTGAAATTTTGGGGTAAATGTAAGGCAAGTGAGTTAGACAATGTTGAAATAAATGCTACCAAAGACAGCACTTTAAAAGTCATGTATAAAAATGTTTTATTGTTCTTCTGTTTTGGTTCTGTATCTAAGGTCCCTCTCACAGTAGGTGTTTGCAACACCAAGCTCCATGCTTAGTCTTTTATTTCCTTAAGATGGGCTCTTGATAAACTGACCTGACTGGCTTTGAACAAACACAAACGTCTTGTCTCATTCTCTTGAGAAGCTGGAATTACATGTCTGAAGCACCAGGGCCACCAAAGTACATAAAAACTGTTTATTAATGTATGCATATTTTAATAAGCACCTTTCCATTTATGTCACTTATACCCTTAACTTCATTTTTTTGTCTCCCTAAATTTAATACTATTTATGATACCACTTCTGTTTTGATATCTATCGACTTCTCTGCAGCCATACAGATACAGAGCTTCTCTGGAAGTTACAGTTTGAAATTGCCTCTAGGGACAGTTGGTGCAAGGGAGAGAGTGAAAAACCAATGCCCTATCTTTGATTCCAGCTTTCTTATTCTCGATTTGGTGTGAGCCATCATTTTAAGATATTACTATCACCTACCAGCCACTATGAAGAAAGAAACAATAAAATAGTTACTGGTGAAATATTTAACAATGATACTAGTAACTGATATTTAATACTGACAAAATACTTAATAATTAAATTAATATTAAATATGATAATAATATTTAATGATAATGCTATCCATAGTGATGACTCTAGCTACTTTCATGTCACACATAGCTGCTATATGAACAGTTTCAAAACTGCACTTAGATTGCTTGAGATCTGTGCCAACAGGCGTTTTTAAAGTAATTTGTCTAATCACATCTTTTATAAAGTGAATGATCATATGTTCTGAACATTTTAGTTAGATATACTGCTTGAAGCATCATTATAGAAACAAATATTGCAAAATTTAGTCTCGGAATCCACAAGAAAAGGAAGACACTCCTGATTTGTAGGTATTTAAGACAATTATTATTGTTGTCCTTAGAAATTTCCCACAATGTGAAAAGCAGGCTATTTTACTATAAAAAGAATTTTAGGAAATAGAGATATTGTGAAGAAGTTCTGGTCTTGTTTTTCTTGGTGCCAGGGATCAAACCCACTTTGCACATGCTAAGTACATCATCTATAACTTAGGTAAATTCCCATTGTCTTCTTTCATTGCCATGAACACTTATTCAGAACTGGTCACTATATATGTGTTACAATATACAAGATATAGAAAATTAAAAGCTATACTAAAACTGTTTTTTTTTTTTTTCAAGACGAAATTGCATATACAGCTGAAGGACAAGCTCACCCCCTGGTCTTTGTTCACTGTGTGCAGGGATGACCTCCAAACATTCTGGGTTTTAACAATAGAGAGATGAAAGTCCCCTCTGCTAAGCTTTCAAAATTCTCATTTCTGCTCTTCCACCCTGCCTGTTTCTTACTAAAATGTTATGGTGACTAAAATAGTAACATTGATCAAAGAAAGGCATAAGAAGAAATTGTTTTAAGGTAGACAATAGATGGTTACAAGATGGCCTCCTCAGTGCACTGAGAGTTTCTGAAGATGAGAGAATAATTAGAGATGATTGTAACCCTGCTTGTTTTGTGAGGTGGGGTCCACGTAGACTTGAGAATATCTTAGAGAATGGAGAAGTGAGTGGATGTAGTATAATATATGGTAAGAGGAAAACCGAACATCAGAAGTGAAAACTTAAGAACGTCCAACATACCACATATAAATTCACCTTTTCTTCCCCAGAAATTTAAGGTTTGTGCCTTTGACACATAGTGAGTTTAGAAATCAATTAGAATTGCCCAAAGAACCAAGAAAATGAAGGGTATAATAACCTTTAGTTGCTTCCTGTCGTTGTAAAGCTAAATGGATGGGGCAAGGTGGTACGAGAGACCCTTTTAGTGCTTTGAGGCAACCATTATTGTGTGACCTGCCTGTCTTTTCAGTGAACGCCAAACCAGTACAACGGATGGTCCTCGCTCTGTAAATGCGGGCAGTCCTCGGTGCAAGAAGCACAACCGCCTTTGTGTGCTCCGAGTTGTGAGGAAAGATGGAGAAAACAAGGGGAGGCAGTTTTATGCCTGTCCTCTACCCAGAGAAGCACAATGTGGATTTTTTGAAGTATGTATAAAATTTTTCCTGCTCACTGTGCTTCAAGTGAATTTTGGTTATTGTAATGTGACAAAAATCAGTGCTTGCAGCTTTACTTGTACATCTATCTATCTATCTATCTATCTATCCATCCATCTATCTATTTGAGACAGGAACCTCCGAAGTTCTAGGATTACAGTTATACACCACCATACCTGGCTTTACCTTTCCATTTTAAATGAAATCATATCAGTATTCATTGCACAGCATGGGTGTTAAATAACTTATAATATAATGAGGCTTAGCAAATAGTGCTAGTGATAGAATAACTATTGCATGAATAAAGAGTTTCGTATTTGTATTCACAAGTATATCAATGCTGCTCCTGGTTCATAGTGATAGTTAGCAAAGTTCTGGGGCCAGATGTGGTGATTCATGTCTGTATTCCAAGAACTGGGCAAGCCAATGAGAAAAAAATGTCTCTCTGGTTTGCAAACTTTCTTAAGGACATTCCCAAGTTAAATTTGATGATTTGGGGTCCTACACCTAAGATATGCTTGTATCATATTAGACTCATAGATTTCCTTTAGAACCATTTTAAATGTAATGGGAAAATGGTATTAGTAATTTTATACTGCTAATACTATCTCAGCCTCCTTCATTCCTCTCTTGAGACCAAATACTAAGGGTAGAGTGGCTTTTGCTTAATTTAGTATGTTTAAGTATCTGCTGGGGTCTTCCTTTTTCTAGGAGACTAATGGAATGTAGTGTTACAGGTATAGCAAATATTTGATAATATTTTAACCAGAATGAACATATAGCCAGGTCACTGGTGATAGCTTAGTATCAAGATTCTAATAGTTTTCAGTTACTCTGAATAAAGGGAGGAACCTTTTATATGCCTTTAGATAATGTGAAGTTTGGAATTAGGACAATTTAGTGTGTGATTAAAGCAAGTTTATACATAAAATGATTCTTTTAAAATATGACCTTTAAAATGCAGCAACTAATACTTTATATCTGTTCCACAAAGTCACATTAGCAGTCACAGCAGTGAAATGAGTATCATATCAAATGAGGCTAGTCTGGTCTGTTCACTTCATAACTTCATGTATTCCTTATATCCTGTCTTCTTCCTCCCTTAGTGGGCAGACTTATCCTTCCCATTGTGCAAGCATGGCAAGCGCTCCATTATGAGAACTGTGCTGAAGATTGGACCTAATAATGGGAAGAATTTTTTTGTATGTCCTTTGGAGAAAGAAAAGCAGTGTAACTTTTTCCAGTGGGCAGAAAGTGGACCAGGAATGGAAATTATTCCTGGATGCTAATACTTTTGCTTTTTAAAGAATGTCTGGCATATGAACTCATCAGGCTCACAATGTTCAGCCCCCTTTGTTTAGTAGAAAGCTTATAGAATACCTGTGGTACATATATGCATTAAGATACTGTCATATTTGAGAAGTATTCTTTGCTTAAATATGTCACTTTCCCATTTCTTTTGTCATAATGAACACACTATACTAAACCAGGTGGATAGCACATTTCCTTTAAAGTGTATATTTAACACATTTAGTAACAATAAAGTATTGTTAGTTTGGTTTTGGTCTCTCATAACTTCTTCGGTGAGCAGTAATTTATTTGGTTTTAGAAGATTATGGAATACATAGCATTATAAGATGCTCATTGCTATGAATATTAAGTTCCTGTTACATGCTAGAGATACCCTGAAGCCTTCAATGTTTTCATAGAATTGTGGGGATCCAAACTAGCATTGACACTTAGGACAGAAGTCAGAAGTCACATTCATAAAGAGATGTGGATTGATGTTTTCCTGATCTTGATTCTAATGTCCTTGGCTACCTTAAAAAGTAAGTACATTTCTAATGCTTATCTGAAGTGTGTGTGTGTGTGTGTGTGTGTGTGTGTGTGTGTGTGTGTGTGTGATGTGTCATGCTAGTGATAAAACCCAGATCCTTGCTCATGGATTCTAGCCTAGACCTTCATTCCTGTGTTATCATTTTATTTTTAGTTTTGTTTTAGCACTCCTTTTTGTTTTTTCCTTTAAAGTTAAACCAACTGTGTTTCTCAAGGGTAAAAAACAAACAAACAAACAAAAAACCCAAAAAACCAAAAAAAAAAAAAAAAACCTATAAATCTCAAGGTATTTTTGCATGTTTGTAGAAGAATCCTTTCCAAGAAGGGTCAATGTATTTTTGAAATGGGCAGCAAACCCATTCTAGTCTACCATTAAAGTGTCCATGCAGAACAATGGAAGTTAATAACACATGAAATGATTGCCAACAACACTTCTCATTCTCAGTCTTTTATGTGTTAACTCTATACCGAAAAGGCAAAGTTGGGAACAACCGAAGATCAATGATCATTACCTTGAGAGCTCAATGAGGCAACAAATCTGTGTGACAAACCAGGAACTCAACTGGACAACTGATACTCTCAGCTGACTTGACATTAAGTAGAGAGTATGTGCCAGTAATGAAAGAAAAAGCAAATGGTGTGCAGCAGAGAGAAAAAGGCCAGCACCAAAATTCTTCCATAATGTCCCAGTGCTAAAACGTGCCGCTGAAAATAAGGAAGTACAAGGAAAATAGAACTACGATTGGTTTAGTACAATAGACATAGATCTTTATCTAGTATGAAGTGTGTGAGGTCTACATGGAAAATTTCACTGAGGAACATGAAAGACTCAGTTGGGTAGACACAACTCACTCTTACTTAGCAAGGCTAAATATTTAAAATATACCCTTATTATTCCTATCTGAATTTTGAATTTTAATAAAATTCCCCAATCAGAAGAGAGCTTTACCTTCCATTTTATTAATAACCTCTGAGTAGCTAACTCTCTTACAGATAACTGGATTCTAGATAAATTCATAGTCCACAATGGTGTGATGGAAAAGATAGATTTGTAAGAGGAAACCACTTGAGATGAGTTCCCATTTCCTCCAGCTCTTATTTTCTCCCCTGAGAGCAGAACAAAATCATAGGATGACTGTGGGAACCCCAGTTCACTCAGCTATGGCTGTCAGAGCCACCAGAAAGTAAAGGACGTTTCTGAAAGGAGATATTCAGAGAAGGAGAACCCCAAGTTCTGTCTTTAAATTCTACCTAAATCATCACATATACCTATACCATGCTCCTGTGGGACAGATAGACCATAAGGCTCATAATGATGAAAGAAATGAAGCAAAAGCTAGTTGATGTTGAAGGTTAAAGGTTTGAGTGGGGATAGAGGAGAAAGGGGATGGGTGAGCCCAAACTGAGATTGTAGGCCTTATGGCAACCCACTTCTTTGTAAGCTAATTAAAAAGCATTAAGAAGTATGTACAGTGGTATTCTTCATAAGTGAACAATGCTGCTCTTAAAAGATGAGTTTCTTAGTGTAAATTTTAGTACAAGGTATGGGATGCCCGCTTTTGAACTGTTGCTCAAGGAGGTCTAAGAGACTCCCAGAACAATACGGAATATTGCCATTGCTCTTGGTTGCCCACCGTAATGAGATGGGAAGATGCTATCACTTTAAACACTTTGGTTGAAGGAATTCAAGAATCAACTGGTACAGACCGGGATACTCCCTCCCCCCTGCCTAGCTGCCATGGTGATAGGAGGTTCTATGCAGGCTTGTGGAGTCGGGAAGAAGTGTCATCCATGTTCTTATCTAGTTCTGTGACCTGCCAGATAAGATGGTCCAGTGGTACAATATTGGCATGCCTGGTGCTATAAACCTAGTCAAAAGCCTATGGCAGCAGAGGTCATAGGGCCTATGTGGGAACCTACTATTATTGTTTTGCTAAATAGTCTTGTTGCCAACCTGTCTTCTAAATATTTATATTTATAAGTGCTGCTCTTTGCCTTGGTGAGAGAAGCTTATTTTTGCAGTAGGCAGCAGTTACTGCAGAAGTTCATAACTGGTCAAAGTGTTGAGAATTCATGAGTAATAGAACTTCTGTATCAACTCTGTATGCCCTTAATGTTCAAGGAACACATTGAAGAGAGGGCAAAAAGAATATAAGAGAGCAGCTATCAGCTGGATACCCATGATCTCACAGTACCTGTGGTTGTCTGTACAAGACCTGCACAAAATCAAGCGGGCCAAAGCTCCATCACAGATAAGGGGCAGATTCTCATGAGGGCCCCACTATTAGCTGAAACGATACTGGAAGGGGATGGCTGCTGGGCAGAGTCCATTTTCTTTGGGGGTATGACCACTGGTCGATTGGCTGTGCTTCAATGGATGGCCCCACACTCATACACATATGGGTGGCAATAATTGGACTGGATGTGGTATTAAAAGAACCAAACAACCATGAGGTTAGGAGGTTGACATGTTGATGAAGTCTGAGCATAGCTGGATAGGGAGATTGGGGGTAGATATGATTAAAATAGATTCTATACATGTATGAAATTCTCAAAAGAATAAATTAAAATACACACATATATATGCATATATATACATATATATATGTATGTATATATATATTTTAAAATCTGAACCATTAGCCAAGACAGTTAAATTTCACCAAATGAACTCCCTGCTGAGATGAAAATGTCAACACTGTTTAGATACAGAGAATCTAGAGCCTCCACCGCATCAAATTCATAATATTCATGGTGTAATGCACAGTATGCTATCTGATGAAAAGCCAGGATCAGTATCCCATTTCAGAGAAAAACCAATCAGGGCCAACTCCAATATGATCCAGTTATTAGACATTTCTAAAATGGATGTTAAGCCTGTCATTGTAGGTTGTGAATTTTAAGGAGAAAATTATACAAGATGGTCACTCAAATCTTGAAGCAATTTAGACAACCAGTGGATCCTACAAAGCAGACTCAAGGGCTTGGCTGCTGGGTCCCAGATCCTGTGTGTGTGATAATCTTTCAGTTTAACTTTTGGAAGAAGCTGTGTAGTCTTCTGGTATTCACCTCTTTGGGTTTGACTGTTTCCTGGTATTACAAGACAATATCATCACAAATACAAAATATTTCAATGATAGATGAAGAACTAAGAAGAGAAAAGCATAAAATACGAAGGAGAGAATAGCTTTAAGAGCCATTACTTCTTGAATTTTTACTGAGCACAGTTGCCTTCACAAGCACTTTCTATGGGTTATTTCATTTAATCCTCTTGCCCACCCTGTAAAATAGATTTTTGCTTTTGTTGCTTTTGACATCGTCAGTACTTTTCCAAGTCTATGAAACGAAGCCTTGTGTAAATTAAGTAGGAAAGTATGTTTCATTAAATCATGGCTTTAATGAACTTTACAAAGTGTTAAAGTCCATAATCTTAAGTAATGTATTCTTTTTGCCCTCTGTTAAACAAAAATGGCAGTACCAAGAAATGCATGTTTTATTATAGTTAATAATCATCAATGGTGTGAAAATAAGAGGAAAGAAACATATGAATAATAATTGCAAATAATAGGATGAGATATGGTGGTTTTCTTCTATAAAATTTATAAAATGTGTTCCTTTTTCATAATTTAAATTTTTCTGTTACTTTTTTCTTCAGAAAATATTATTTTCATATACTTTTCTAATTTTATTAAATTATAACAATTTACACATATTAAAGGTATTAATACTTATTAAGGCATGATTGAGGAACATCTTATTCAGGACCTTCAAAATAACCATAGAAGCAGGATGTGGTGGTGCATGCCTCTAATTTCAGCACTTGGGAGACAGAGGCAGATGGACCAGCCCAATATACATAGCAAGTTCCAGGCCAATCAAGGCCACATGATGAGACACTGTCCACCTCCCCAAAAGGTAAATATAAATTTTAATACAAACATTGGAGACACTGTAATAGATTGAGCGCTGATCTTTTCATGACAACAGGGAATTTATCACTTCAGAGAAGTGTGGGAAGCAATGGGTGGAGGATTACTCAGAAGAAACATCCATAATAAAGCATTCAGCTAAATCAGTCTAACAGGATTCTCAATGAAGACAAGCCAGGGTGATCTAACAACATCTGGGACTTGGTAGATGATGGGGAACCTGTCCAAATATGGAACATGAGGCAATTCTGACGAATCTGACAGACTCTTTGCTAAAACAGAAGTTTATAAGGAATGCATAGAAGGACACAGTGGGTTCAGATATGTCTTTGTCATCTCTTACAAGGATTTGCAAAATTGGTATACAGTGGTAATAGATTTTACAAAACATAAAATCTTTTCTCTTTGTATAACTTTGCAGCACCTCATATGACAAGGGGTGGGGGGGGCGTTAATACCATGACTGACTCTTTACCCTTCTGTCTGTAGCGCTCTACAACTATAGTAAGAGTTAACCCTTTCACATTTCTTAACATTAATTTCCATAAGAAATCATACACATTGATGTGAAACACAGGCCCTGCTTCAAAGAGAATACAGTTTATTCTAAGCCATATACAAGTGACCATAGCCCCAGAACAATTTGAGTTATCTCACATGACATGATCTTTTGTAGAAGTGATTACAAACTCTTGGAATTATGTACCAAGTGATAGACATAAATCAATGTAATTACCAGACATTTTGGTGGGGGACTTGGTAGGTGGTTAGAGTAAAGTGGGAAAATCTCCAAGTCTCAGATGTCTTCTGATAACATCCTCAGCTTTCAGGTTTGTGGAAGCTAGTAGTCAGCTGACATATTAATATAATCTCATAGGCTTAGTTATGCAAGGTCTGTTGGATGTAGTGGATGGTGATAAATGGCTATTAAGGAAACTAAAGACAGCCCAAGATAAAACATTCCTTCTTCCCACAATCTTGAAGTTCTGATTAGTTCATGGAATCTTCTAGGTAGGTATTGCATTTTTCAGCACACATCTGGTCATACATATACTCTTACTCCTTATAGAATATTTTATTAGAAACAAGCCTCTTTTACATGTCAATCCCACATCCCTCTCCCTCGCCTCCTCCCCTCCTTCCCTGCCCCCGACTCCCCTTTCTGCTCCCCAGTGAGGGTGAGGCCTTCCATGGGACATCTTCAAAATCTGTCACATCATTTGGCCTTATAGAATTATACTTAGTATTTTCCCTTACACACAGTAGAAACATGACAGACATCTGTTGAATTTAGTAGTAGATAAGTAATTTTTAATGTACTTTCAGTCTCTTAAACATAAAAACCTTGTTGCCACTGTTCAAACATGAATATACTTAAATGTCATTTGCAAGGAGACTTATTGGTTTGTTTTAACAGAAATTGCTCAGTATCTAAAAAACTATTAAACTTTTGTAATAAATAAGTGAAAAGAAATTCTCAACATTTTTCAAAAATCTACTTACAAATCAGAATTAATTACATTAAGAGGTCTGTACTCATTGTAGAGAAAAAGGAGATGAAAACAATGTTAACTTATATTTATGCTATTTTTAAGGACACATAGAGCTGAACATATCTCACTATTTCTTACATCACCACATGTTTGAACTTCATTTTGTCTAAAAACAAGCCAAGTAGTTTAAATAATTTGTTTCCAAATTCATTTAATTGCTATTGAACATTCACTATGTGAATAATCCAATGATGGGGAACTTTTAGATAAAGATTGCACAAATATATAAATGAAGTTGGTATTATAAGAGATAATAGCTCAATAAACATAGAACTAAGGGGTATAGGAGGCAAAGATCACGTGTCATTTGTCAATCAGAAGAGCTTCAGGAAAGAGCAATTGGGATTTCACCATGGTGAAGATTGGCCTCTGAGGAATGGCATCTCAGGCAGTTGCCACAACATAAACGAGGACCTGTGAGAGCAGGCACAGAAGGTATAAGCAGAGAGCAAACCAGTCAACCAGCCATTTTTCTTAGCTGGATCATCATGGCATACCTGCAGGAAAACACAGGGATAAATGTGTAAAGAAACATCAATTCCCTTTCCATGGCTATAAGTGGTGTTCCTAAGCTGGGCCAGTTTTGTGATCAGAGGCTAAAATGTAAGTCACTCCATGTAGGAGTGGAGTTGGCAGATAAGCTAGCCAAGGTATACTTGGATGTGTAAATAGAGGCGGTGCAAACAGTGATCTACTTGGACAGATAAGGGATCTATTCACCTACTGTTGAGTTACCCTTCGATAGTTTCTCAGACTCTTAAGATAAGAGTGAATTCTGGAGTAAGACTGTTATGTCAAATACCTGTACCAACCCTTTCTATGCTAAGGAACTGATTCAAGATTCAACAGAACCAGGGGACTGAGGATATGCTGATCAAGAGCTGCTGTGAGGATAAAAAGTCAATATCGATGGAAGAGGTTCAGCACAGACTCTTAACAGTTAAGTGTATGGATTAAATTTCATTATCATTATTAGTAGCACCACCACTACTGTCTGCCCAAACTATTTTTACCTAATGTTCCGGACAAGAAATTGCAATGATAACCTTAAAGGACTTGAATTTGATTGGACAGAGAAGAAATGAATGATTTAAAGGATCAGGAAAAGAACGTCAGAAGGCAAGGAAAAGCATGACATTTGAGAAACGGAACATTTTAATGCCAGAGCTGTTTATTAAAAAAGGTATCAGAACGATGCTGGGGTGAGCTTTATGATGTCAATGAGACATCAAAAGTTAAAGATGAAAAAGGAATAAAAGTGCCAATTCATGAAAAGCAGAGACTAATATTTAGCATAATTACTATTAGTAGAAATAGTATTCAGGTAGATGACTCAGCTAGTAAGAGTGCTAGCCACGAAAGCTTACTAACATGGGTCAGAGTACTAGAACCCCTGTAAAAAGTTTATGGTGACACAGTCTGTTCTCTCAACAACAGTGCTTTAAGAAGATGTAAGGCAAAACCAGAAAACTCCCAAGTCACAGCCTACCCTGGTGTACGGAGCTAACAACTGAATCAAGAACAATGTGATCTCAATAAGTTTATGGCAAGAATCAATGCCCCAGTCTGACCTCCACGTGAGCATTCTTTTGTACAAGTACCAGAACTCAGAAACAATTCACACACACTCACCATACAAACATGCTCCCAGAGATTTTAAAAGAAAAATTGTGTATCTGAATAATCAGTCTTGACTCATTATTAAAATGATTCTATTTCCATTGGTTCCCCAATTTCTTTCATGCTGTGGTCTTAAGTTCAGGAAATACAGTATATGAAGTTTCTGCAAGAGCAGGTTTGTAGGATCAGAACACAACATCTCGGAGAGTCAGGTTGATGGGCATGAACAGAGTGACAAGAGTCCTGTTCACTGAAATCTATTAAAAAGGGGTGAGTCCATTGCTATGGGAGATAGAGCAGGGCCTACTTTGGGAATGGCAGCAAATGGAAGAGTTAGAGTTTTTTCTTTGAAGTTGCAGGGACAAAAAACAAGGGTTTTTGGATTGAGATAGCTATTTATTATTTAACCTACTAACTTCTCTAATAAAAGAACACTGGAGGAAGAAATATACAATGTTTAAAATAGATGAAACAGTGAAAAAGTGATAACAGGACAAAGGATAATAGAGCTTGAGAGCAAAAGAAGGGTGAAGGGAAACCCCTATAACATCTACATGTATTTCTTACATCCATGTTAATAACAGAAATCGGACATGTGGCATCAAGACCAAAACCACAGCCTTCTAATTTTTTTACAGTATGTTCAAGCCTATCAGACTAAATGCTATTACAAGAGGCAAAACTACAAAGCAAATCAATACTCTCATTGACAACAACTCTACATCCACCTTCCATATTAACAGGTCTGTATTGCTCCCAAATGGTAACGTGGGCATCTTGACTGCACATTATTAAATGCTTGTCTTTTAATGTGCCTCTGTTTTTCTCATTATGTGTTATTCCATTTTGCATGGTTGGTGCCATTTAAAAGAATTTATTTTGCTATCAATGGCAAAAAAAAAACAATTTAGAAAGCTGGTCAGAGTAGGAAAAATGTTAAATCTATGTATTTGAGTAGGTTATTGACTCATTAGTTTAATAACTGGCTTTTGCAAACTTGAATAATTGAAATGCACTGGAAATGATACAGCATTTAGAAAGTGCATTCTTAAAATGGTAAACACTGGATCTAGGACCTGAGTTTGTGGTTATTACTTATTTAAAATAAACAAGCAAATTCCATTGAGATATGGTCTCATTTTCAGGAATGGTCTATTAGCAGGCAGCAGTGAGCACAACAATTAACCATATCAGCACATTAAAGCTGAATGTGTAAACTCCACATAGCAGCAAACACACATCCTACCATGGCCTATTAAGTAATCAGAAATGATTGCAGATAATTAGCCTGTGAACAGCTGCATAAACTCAACTGTTCCATTTTTTATCAGACATGGAGGCCTCAAGTAGGAAGGAGAGTCATTAGCTGTGTCTTGAACTTTGTGGGAGTGTCACTATGAAACAAAATTAGGGACAGAGTCTAACGTTTGATGGTACACTGCCATTTGAGACTTCCTTGTGATGATTCATAGTCACATAACTACAGATCTGCAATGAAATTATTGAAACAAGCATATTATCATTGACTTAAAAAACTCATAAAATAGGAAATTAAAAACAGGACAATGAGCAGGGATCAAGTAGTGATATTTCTTACATATATGTGTTTCAGTCACACTTTTTATTTCTAGTTCACACTTGATTTACACATTCTCCAGCAATCTCTCTTAATAACCTGATTAATAGCACCAAAGATGTGTGTGTGTGTGTGTGTGTGTGTGTGAAAACACATAGTTTTCACTTTAAAATATGGTTTTCTCTTTTTCTTTTCTGTTTTCACTAATGAAAATATTCTAAGAAAAGTATTACAACTTTATCGAAACAGTTGAAATATATATATGGAAAAAGAAAGGATTATATTTGCTCAGTATTTATCCAGAAAAACAGAACCGAAAGAAACAAATGTATTTTTTTCATCATGATTGCAGGTTTAATTTTCCTAAGGCCTCCTTTGTGCTAGGCAAGTCCTCCACTGCTTAGCTATGCTCCCTTTACTTTTTTATTTTGAGACAAAGTTTCACTCAATTACCCAATCTGGCCTTCTACTTGTAATCCTCTGGCTTTGTTGCCTGTAAGAAGTTGGGTAGCTGGAACTGTACGACTAGAAACAAATTACCACTCTTAAAACTAAACTGGTACACTGTGGCATTGTCAGAGGTTTCCATACTACCCCCATTCAAATGTGGATGTGGTTAGAAGGGTCCTTGGTTTCCATCAAAGTTTCTTCTCATTTTAAGATTTGTGGGGGACCAAAATATTTCTGCTATGGAATATTTTGAGATCCAGGCTGGAGTTTCACTAAACATGGAGCACCGGAAAGCTCCGGCCCACTATTGTATTGTTAATGCCAGTAAGGATACTATTATTTACCATGACCTCAGGGTAATATGCCGCTTATTTGCATCTCTGTGGATCTAAGCACCTGCATAGCCCTCACCTGGGTGGAGGTGAGAGGTGTGTGAGTAACTTGTGAGGAGGGAAGGTTAGGAGTTAGGGGAGAGTGACCAGAGAGCAGAGAGGGAACAAAGAGAGAAATGGTTCCCTCATGGTCATGGCAGGATGGTTAAGAAACAGCAGAAAAGATGGCTAATAAAGAAATGACTCTAGTTCTACAACATGGAACTAAGAGCTCTCTAAAGATGACAAGATGCCTGTGTTTGGTCTTTATCGCCACTGGGTTGCTAGGAGCTTCCAGGTCCACACCACCACCCCCACTCAGGCCCAACCTCATGGACTAAGGCTGAGACACGCTGAGTCATGACAAAGATTCCATGAAATAAAATTCTCATGAAATTGTCTCAGCAATGAAGGACTGTAACTACCTTGGATAGTGTCAAACTTTTGGGAGGTAATGCTTGCTTGGAAATTTTTCAATAAAGAATTTTTACTTGTGTTTATATTGTCCTCACAGGAAATTAGTTTTCATTTTTGTGTTATTTTATTAAAAATGTGGGTTAGATGATAGACAATTAAATATAGAAGATACATGATAGATATGATAGATGGATGGTGTATTCATAGCATATTAGATAGATAGTTTGTGTTTATATAATTAAGAGCCCTGAATTTTTCTCATAGACAATTAGTTCTATTAAAAATATCTTACTTATATTTGTTTTCTTTTCAGTTATTTATTTATTCGTTAGTTTGTTTATTTTGATTTTTTCAAGACAGGGTTTCTCTGTGTAGCCCTGGCTATCCTGGAACTCATTCTATAGACCAAGCTAGCTTCAAACGTAGAGAGCTGCCTATCTCTACCTCCCAAGTTCTGGGATTAAAGGCATGTGCCATCACTGCCCATGCCACTTAGCTTCATTTATATGAGAATCCAAAGAATACATTTTATTGTGATTGGGGCTATGCTAAATACTATGACAACTTAAGTAGAGTGCCTTGAGGATTTTAATGTCTTTGAAGTAAATGAGCATGCAAAGCTGCAGTTATAGGTCAGAAATGCAAGAGCTACAGTGGGAGACACAGGGAAAGAAGGTCAAATGCAGAAAGCAGCTCTTTGCAACCTGGAGGAAACTGGGTTTCCCAAAGTGGTAACGCTGGGCAGTTGGGGAGACTCTGGGGAAATCATTTCTAAATCTCTCATTTAAACCTAAAACTATAGCTAAAGTCAACCACTCCTGATTGTGGTAATTTTATATATGTGTCTCATTCATTGCAAGTTAATTGATATTGCCTAGTGCGCCAGTCAAACATTGGTTGCCAGTTTCTTATGGTCCTGTTGATAAGAGTATTAATACAACCGTGATGGCCAGCAAACCCAGTAGTTAGAACTTCCTAGACTCTCCAGAATTAAGAACCAGGAATATTGACTTCAACAAGCTCACCAGCTGACCCTTACAGAAGGTCAGGACTTTGAACTGAGCACCACTGTTCTACAGCAAAATACCTGCACTTGTTTTGGACCACATTTTAATACATCATACTAGAATGTCTAAATATTCCTTCCAGATACTGTGAAATAATTAGATGAATTATTGCTCTAATACATAGACTGAATTCATTTGAAGTGAAATAGGAATGTGAGGTTGAATAGGATCACGGAATGACTTCAATCAGGTCATCTGATGTCTGATTGCAGATCTGTCACCAAGTACTAATAAGATTAAAATAACTGCCATTACTAAAGGCAATGAACTTCCCTAATTTCAGAGTCTTTAGTCATAATGCCATGAAATTGGATACCTCTAATACCTCTCCCCAAAGTGCAATACTGTGTTTTTCAGTTTCTTGATAATTTTTTTAAACAATAATCATTTAAAGATTTAAAAAAAGTATGGTTCACAGTTTCCTTTTAGATTTTGTTGGTCATTAGTCCCTTGTTTCTATCTCTTCAGTGTGGATTGTACTTTATATTGGGTTTCTTATCCATTGAAGTTAAAACGGATTTTCTTTCTGCATTCACATTTTGGGGTCAAATGTTCATAGCATAATTTTTAGAGTGAGAGATTCTTATTTTCATGAATACTAACTCCCATGAAGACCTCAAGACTAAATCTACCCACACTCTGAGTGACATTTAGATGAAAACAAAATGGAATAGAACTCATCTCAGATCATGAAGTACCCTGTCTCAAATGTCGACTGAACAATTTCTGGGTCCTGAGAAATAATAAAAAGGGAAATGTTTCCCTGAAGTGAAGCTGGGGAGTGAAGTTTACAGAAGCCACAGATATGGAAAAAATCCTTCTGTTTCTACACAGGGCACTTACCTTTTCTGTTCTTTCTTTTCCTCTAGCTTCTTTCTTTTTACCATTTGCTGTTGCACAGTTTCTACTGAACTGATGTCTCACCAGATCCATATGAATTACAACCTTCAGAAGACACGATTTGTTCCCCCACCAAATACATTTGCCATAATACTTCAAACAATTTCTCAACAAGAGCTTAAGAAATACATGTCAAGAAAAAAAAAACCTGCTATTTTATAATCCTGGATATTGTCAGTTAGTGGAAGCTCAGTGCAATCATTGGCACTTTTTCCTTCTATTTTTGCCAGGAGGCATGCTTTGCCATGGATCTATAGGCTGCTTTCTTGGACCCTTCTCTTTGCTGTTACGATCTGTGACTTAGGGAGCTAACATACGCC